GGTGTGCTCATGGATGGGTTTGTTGTATTGCTGTGAGCCAAGGGCAGCCCTGGCCATTTCGTTTGAAGCCAAGAATAGGAGCATGTGAATGCACGCATGTTGCATTCAGTGCCTTCACAGGCACTTGGGCCTGGCTTGCAGGAAGATGGTTGTGAAGGTGGAGAAGAAAGATGATAGTAATCAGCCAGCCAAACGGGCTAAGGCTGGTGAGGCCAAGCCGAAGACCAAGGCCAAGGCAAAACCTGAGCAGACAGCTGAAGAGCCTGAGCCGCCTAAGAAAAGGCACAGGGGAAAGTCCGCTGCCTAGTAGCTCAAAATTTGATGCCAGAGGGGAACCTCTAGGTGTGTGAATGCACACACGATGGTTCGCGCTTTTACCTTAAGCAATGTGGTGGGGTGAAAAGTTTCCCTTGCTGCCAAGTGTGGCTTGTGACTTACATGTTGGGCCCACGCATGGATCGAGCAACTAAAGAGTACATGCTCCCAGTGGGACATGCCAGGTTTGAAGCAGACCAACTCGAGGAAGACTAGGTTCTTTGCCCGCCAGTTGGCCAAAGGGGTGTGGCGCTTGGCACTCGCTGCTTGTGGAATGCAACTGGGTGATCAGGTGTGCAACTTCCCTCTGCTTGAGAGGTTCCTGCGTCAAGCATTGTGGAGTGTGCGCAGATAGATGCAGAAGATGGGATTGCTGATTGTGATGTGCAGGATTGGGGCCCGGTTGTATAAGTTTGGTGGCCGCATCGTGTATGTTCAAGGTCGCTGGGACCAGTTGCCTAAAGCGAGAGCATGGGACCTGTCTGTGTAATTGAGGGCCTGCGAAGGCCCTCACCTGTCTGCACCACCTGTGTTTGCAGGACCTGGCAAAAGGGTCAATAAGAGATGCAGAAGAACATGTGCACAAAGTCATGGGTGACTGCAAGAAGGCCACTTTACAGGCCAAGATATCATTCCTGCAGACGCTTGGAGAACAAGAGTTGTTTCATTTTTTGTGCATGATTGTCAATGCTCTTTGGCACTGGCACCCAAAGAGTGGGAAAGTCCAAGTGTCAGGTTGGGTGTGTCAAAGAAGCTCATGAACTACCCGGCCATAGAGCCCATGGATGTTGTTGCAGCTTTGGCCCAACATGGCCATTTTGAAGCTGCCCTTGGGGTGACCCTGAAGAGGTGTGCCTTGGATTAATGAGACCGTTTGGTTGTCGTTCGTCACTCCGTGTGAGACATGGGTTTTGGGCAACTGCAGGCCGTGAAGATTTGGCCCTTTTTTGGAAGTGGTTCCAACAGGTCTTCCCCAACCATGATGTTTCGGAAGATCTTCGACAGGGTGTCGTTGATGCAAGCAGCCTTGTGCCGGTACAGCTCCATGGAGATGGAGGTCGACACTTCAAAAGAACAGAGGTGATGATCCTTCAATGGCAGCCAGTGTTGGGAGGAGGAACAAAAAAGGCTTTGCCAAGTAGAGTTGGGTTGGCCATCAACTACCGTGGCAACACCTGGGGAACCCGGTTCCTTTTCAGTGTCCTTCCACGCGCAATGTACAGTGGTACACCCCAGCCGTTGAACCGACTGTTCAGAGCTTTTGGAATCTTGTTTGCATGTGCGCTGTGGTTTGTTGCGATTGTTTTAATAATGTTGACATCGTTAAAATTATGAACTGAGGAAATGGCATGAAGCGACTCTATCAGGAGGGCTATAACTATGGGGGGCTGAAGTTCAAGTTTGCCACCATTGGGATGAAAGGTGACGTGGTCAGCAGGTTCAAATCCCATAGTATGGCAATGCAGGAGAGTTGGCTTGTCTAGGTGATCTACCGTATCAAGTCAAAGCAGCTGGATTTGTGCGCTCATTCAGTCATGTACGCAAAGCGCCTGAAGCTGTTCACTCAACGGAATTGGCTGGATGCTGTTGGTTGACTGTCAGCATTGATCAATAGTAGTGCGTGCACGCATGGGTCTTGTGCAGAATGCTGACATTGAGGCTGTGCATGGCTGGCACAAGGGATCATCCTTTTGAGGACCTGAGCAACACAGTGGCTTGGACGCAGCTAGGCAAAATCCCGCAAACATTTTTGATGAATGGACATGACTTCAAGGCGAGCTGGATCAATACTATCGGTGACCAAGGGAAACTTCCATACATGAGGACACCTGCGTTGCTTGAGTGCTGCTTGAGTGATCGCTCGCACCCGGCAAGTTTTTTCAAACTGGATTTGTTTCATGTTTGCTGCGCAGGGATTTTGAAAGACTTTGTTGGCTCATGTTTGACTGTTTTACTGGAATTGTTTGACGAACCCAACTTGCCGGAGAGAGCTGTCAAAATGAATGAAGTGCTCAAGACCTTTTGCAAGAACCAGAGGCACACGTTTCATGCAAATCAGCTGAACCTATCCTTGTTGGGGTACTCTGTCAAAGACTATGTCTCTGGATCATGGAGCAAAGGGCAGGACAGTATTGTCCTTCTCCGTTTTGTGGTGTGGCTGTGTGGGAACTATCCTGCAAATGACATTGAGCAGCATGACCTGATCAAAGTGGCTGCAGAGGTTTTCTGCAGATTTTGGGATTTGCTGCACGCATCTGGGGTTTGGATCTATGGTCAGGACGCCATGGATTGTGTGGTCAAAGGCCAAGCCTTTTGCACAGCATACCAAAGGCTGGCTGTGTGGGCGTTTGACAGTGAAAGGTTTTTGTTCAACATGGTCCCCAAATGTCATTGTTTTCATCATGTGGTTGTTGTGATGAGAATGCAGCTCTTAGCGCATGGGGTTGTTTGGAATCCATTAAATGATTCCACGCCCCAAGATGAAGATTTCGTTGGCCACACGGCCAGGGTTACACGTCGAGTCAGCAGCCGAGCCACTGCACTGAGGACACTTCAGCGGTGGAAGCTGGGGGTTTTGCCAGCATTGCAAAGCAATGCAGCTTCAAACAAAGAGCTTTGCTAAAAAAAACTTGAGCGATCCTGAGTGTATGTGCTCGCAATAGGTTTCTGAACTCTATTTGCACAAGTTTGAGCCAGTGTGGGCTTTCACAAGCCCATGCACGTGCTTTGACAATCCCCGTGCATGCATTGGCTTTCATAAGGTTCCCATGGTTCCCATGTATGGGCGTTCACAATGCCCGTGCATGCATGGGCTTTCACAAGGTTCCCATGGTTCCCATGTATGGGCTTTCGCAATGCCTGTGCATGCATGGGCTTTCACAAGGTTCCCATGGTTGCCATGTATGGGCTTTCACAATGCCCATGCATGCATGGGCTTTCACATGGTTCCCATGTATGGGCTTTCACAATGCCTTTATGTGGGAAACATGTGAGTGCCCGAATTGCTGGATAGGTGCCTTCACAGGTACCTATCTGTGATATGTGTGCAGTACACAATGTACTTCAAAACAGACCAGGTGTGAGGAGGGCCACTTATGCGCAAATGCTGTGCACTGCTGCATGTATGTTTTGATGTTTTGATGTGCCAGCATACTTTGGCCCGAGCAAGTTTTTTTGCATGAGTGGCTCAATGGCTGATCCTGCCAAAGCCAAATCTGGGACTGCCATGTCGGCGGATGCGCCACCTTTTGTGTTGGCAGGGCGCCCTGTGTCGTACTCACCGCCGTACAAAGTTCCACCACCAGAGCTGCAGAGTGCTCTTGGATCTCAAGCAGTGGTGCGGAAGGCTCCGCCAGGCCAAGCTGACCAAGTTCCTCAAGCAGTGCCGCGGAAGGCTCCGCCAGGCCAAGCTGACCAAGTGCTTGGTCAAGCAGTGCCTCCGAAGGCAGTGGCAAAGCAGGCTGAGGCCAATGCACCTGCTGTTCAAGCACAGTGGAATGCTGCACCAGTGGGACTGCCGACGCCGGAGCTACAACACGCCTTACGGGTAATGCGCAATTTGCAAGCGCTGGAGGCATCCCTCGATCTAGCTCAGTTTGACTCTGGGCTCAATTTGTTTTATGTTTGTGCATGGCAAAGTTGTCAACCAAATCCATGAAAACTTTTGATTGCTTGTGGCATGTTTGTTGCATGTAGGAACTTCAATGCTACAGCATCGATGTCCTTGATGATTGGTGCACGGTTGGCTCACAAGAGCATCGCTGGATGAGCAGGCTGCGTGGTTGCATTCAGTGTTTGTGCATGGTCTAGTGCTCATGGATTTGTCTTGGGCTTTCACAAGCCCATTGTCTTGGGCTTTCACAAGCCCAAGACAATTAGTGTTGCTTTGTTGTTTGAAAACTTGTGTGTCTGAGGCAATTGCAGGATATCGCTCGCAACCTCTCAGATTGCAGGAGGCAATGCCTGGTGGTGTGCCAAATGTGTGGTGTTGACACACGTGCCTGAGTGAGTGGCCAGGGCCGGTGAAAGAATTCACCCAAAGACCCAAAGGGTGAATGAGTGTTTCAAAGGGCTGGTGAATTCGTTCACGTTTCACCTCTTTCAGCTGTACAGGCTGACGAATATGAGCAACGTTCAAAAGAATACTATTTGATGAAACTCGTATATACACATGCAAATTATACATGATGAAACGACCGTATTTTTCATACAGAAAATGACTGTAAGATGAAACGACCGTATTTTTTTGAAACGACCAAAAAAAATGGTCTTTTTCAAACGACCAAAAAAAAGTGGTCGTTTCAGGTTCCAGGTATATATATATAGTATGGGTGTATTGATGTTAGCAATGATGGATTTTGCAATGTGTTTTGCGCGGATTACGATCGATAGGCAGTATCGACCTCCAACCAACCCTTGATCTACTGGTACAGGCGGCTTGTGAACCCCGAACATGGACGGCAGTCCTTGGTGGTTCATATATATATATAAGGTTTGTCTCAGAAAGTGTTTTTAATTAACGCCCCACAGGGTCTACCTTTTGGTTGACGATTCCTACTGTAGCCCAATCAAAATCCATGAATTGGAATCTCACAATTGTCATTGTGATTTGTCTAGTTCAAGACACGTCCAAAAACTTTTGCAGTTTGTTTGCTTTTTGATGTTTGCTTTGAGAAAGATCTAAGGTTGCTTTTGTGGTGCTTGGGCCATTGCTTTTCCTCTGTCGCTTGAATTTGCACGGAAGTATGCTTTGCTGTTTGCAGATAGTTGCTACGTCAGTTATAACAATGCCTGGTACATCGAAAGGCTCAAGAGAAGGACTTTCGGACATACTCGAAAAGTGGGTCCGAGGTTTTTTTTTTTGGTGGGAGGATTCTCTTCCGTGAGCCTTGCGATGATGTACTCTGCTTGGAAAGTATGACCAAAACATCAGTGGTTTAGTCACCGTTTTTGGCCGTGAACTGCTGACCCCTATGGGCCGTGGAAGGCCGCTGAGCGCGGACCACCCCCCAAAAAAACATACCAACGAAAACCCCAAACACACGAAATCTGCCAGTCACTCAACATGTTTCGCATTTGGTCATATTCCTCGTGCTTCAGCATGTCATGTTTGACATGTTGAAAAGGTTTGGGAAGGTTTAGAACATCAAAAGGCCTTTGGGCTGGAGGCCTTGCTTAGCATGGCCTTCACACTGAGGCCTTTCTGTTCTAGGACTCTTGATGCACCAGGAGACCAGGAATGGCGTCTTTATTCAAATTGATCAGATCATTCACAAAATCACATAAAGTCGCAAAATCAAATCTTTAGGGGACAGTTCATTTCAGAGGTGTTGCCAGGTATATAGAGAGTTCACCTTCGTGCGCGTAACTCGGCGGTGGCACACTTTCTTCCTGCCCTTGAAGTGCTGAAGATGTTTCCCGGGCCATTTGATGTGTTGAAACGATATCGATCTGGAAGGTGAATTGGAGGAGTTGGGTGGTTAATAGGGGTTCTTAAAATATGGTTTTAACCCCATTACAGAAACAAGGGAAACTGCCAGACTGGGATGATTTTCGGGAGTTGAATCCACATGCACGCATTTGTGTTCATACATATGTTAGGACATCAGCTCAACCTCCTTCGTTTCCGCCAGAGAAGGTAGCGTCCAGCTGGTGGGCTTGCTCCGAAGCTTCGAAGACGAAGCGCCTGCCTTCAGTGCCTTTCGCTACTTCACCATCAGCATGGCCTCCATCGGCCTGCTGGTGCGCGTGGCCTTCGCGCCTCGGTCCCGAACCGCGCGGCGCGGAGCTTTAGAGCGGGACGCACCAAGGACGGGCGCGAGACGCGTGGATGAAGTGGGAGTGGGGAAATGGGAGCAATCCATAGACCATGTCTGATGGATCTACAATAGTTGAAAGGAAGTCTTTTTGGATGACTGCAGGGTGGGTCAAGATGGTCAAGACGTGCTGCAGCTGGTTCACCACCAATGCCTACCAAGCCTTTGGGACATACTTGTAGGAATATCTCTCATGACACAGCAACGAAGATCACGCACCCGAAGATCTCCAAGCAACACACCGCACCCGAAGATCTCCAAGCAACACAGGGCATGCAGTATAATACCGGTATATACCGGTCATCCATTGGTAAGGTTCGATCATGGCTCATGGCTCAACATCCGCAGGTGAGGATTTGTAGGTCTTCAGCTGAGTCGACACCGAGGTGATTATGTTGTGCCTCAATCCGGTGGACGAGAAAATGTTCTTGTTGAAAGTGATCACAAAGCTGGCAGCTTGGCATGTCGCTATGGGAACGGTAGAATCGAAGAGAAGACCTTGGTTCGGATGACAGAATATCCAATCATATTCTAATGATATATATATATATATATCCATGCATTGGTTGGTAAACATGTGACAGCTCGTGACATGAGTTTTTGCGATTTACAGGATTTCCTGACACTCATGGCCGTCATATTGTCCAACCATTGCCGGCGGATCAGCGGACCAGCGGATCAGCGGAGCAGCGGAGCAGCGGATCAGCGGATCAGCGGACCAGCGGATCAGCGGATCAGCGGACCAGCGGATCAGCGGAGCAGCGGAGCAGCGGATCAGCGGAGCAGCGGATCAGCGGACCAGCGGATCAGCGGCTCAGCGGACCAGCGGATCAGCGGATCAGCGGCTCAGCGGATCAGCGGATCAGCGGAGCAGCGGATCAGCGGAGCAGCGGATCAGCGGACCAGCGGATCGACCAGTGGATTAGCGGAGCAAGACCATTTGAATCCCACGCACATTCTCACACATATTGTCTGGCTTTGGGAGAGAGGGAGAGATAGATGGATGGATGGATGGACGGATGGATCGATTGACCAAGAGATTTGACATGGTTTGAAAACCTTTCACGGATGCTGATTTCCACCCAGACAGCTTTGGACGGCCGCTTTGTGGTAGGGGCATGCGCCCTTATACATGAAGTTTGCACATGTAGACTGCAAAGCAGCATATAGTCATTGTTTCGAGCGCAACCCTTTTTGTGCTTCTCTTATCTTATACATATTGTCAAGCACATGGTTTGCGCGGATGGAGCAGCGACTCGCTTGCTTGCTAGATGCCGTGACCAGTGCAGACCCGGCAGCAGTTGTGCCCGATGCCGTGGCTGGACGCGTGGTTGAGTGTCTTAGTGCAGAGATCGGGCATTGCCTCCCTGTCTTTGGCGGTGAAACCTGTTTCCGAGAATTGTTGCCACTCCAAAAGTCCTGCCCACGGTGTGATTCGCACCTCGCAAAGATTGCATCTGCCAAGGCAGTAGCGACCATAGTGCACACAGGTGGTTTGGTCAGGAAGGACCCCATACCGTGTCGCTGTCGCAACAAGAACTGTGATATGTATGGCAGCTTGATTTGGCATAACTACTTGGTAGACGCTGGAAGACATTTCTTTCTGGGACATCCACAAGACTTGAAATGCTTCATGGTTTCATCATCTTTTGGCTTTTCGATCGAATGGCTGGAAGATTTTCACAGCCGTGTTGTCCGCCAACACGCTAGCTTCATCAGTGAGAGTGACGTCATTCAACAAAGAGCAGTCAGACACGGTCAGACTGCTTGGCTGCCAGTGGCCCGGCTCAGAAAAATGATCAGCGAGGCTTGGTTCAAGTGGCGGTTGCTTGTGCGAGGGTACGCCTACAATATCCCGGGTGTGGCGCAGAACCCCATTGACATACATCAGGGAGTTGAAGATTTGCTGAAACCTGTTCTTCCTGCTTTACAAAAAGCATTTTCAGATGCTGCCGTGGCTTCAGCACGCTCAGCAAACATGCGGCGAGATGTCATTGTCATGGACAGGAACGCAAAGAACCGGCGGGCTATATGCGCAGCGTTGCTGTGCGGGAGAAAGCAGTCTCTTTCTCTCAACAAAACACTCCGGCACAATTGCCCAGCTACCCCTGCGCTTGGGCATCTCTTTTGCGCCAAGCACAATACAGATGATGTGGCTGCTGCACCTCAGGACCTGGGTTGCGGAAAGCTCATGGTCGAAGAATCACACACACATGCACACCCTGGTGTCAGACTCCCCAACTCTATTTTGATGGGAACAAGTGTTCGTCAAATAGCTTGTCTGTGCGGCAAGGGAAGGCAACTACACGAATGGGTCGCAAACTATAGGATGACCTGCGGAGCTGCTGTGCAGATTTTTCCCACGGCAAGCAGTCCTTTGGTTGCCTTTGGAATCAACGTGAACTATTCACAAACACGAAAGAGCTCATGCACCAGCCATGCTGACAGCATCACCAGGGTGTTGGATTCCCATGTCCGGCAAAAGACTCAAACCTTCTTGAACCAGATGTCAGTGGAACAAGATTTCACGCATGATGAAAGCACTGCTGCTGGTCAGAGGCGCGGTTTCGGATAAACAATGCGTGTTATTGAACAGAACTACGAAACAGGCACCAACCAGAGCTGGCTTTAGTTCCAGAAGCTGTTGCTTCATTCTGTGTTTCATGTTGACAAAGCTTGTAGGTGTCTCGCGCCTTTGACTTTGAAGCTGTGACCCGAGGCCCAAACCGGTTGCGGCTGTGGTGCTATCATCCGCCATCGCAAGCGCAACCCCTGAGGAGTGGTTTCATAGATGCGCAAGTGACTTTGACCAGGTCAAGAATGGAAGCAAGTTGCCAGGTGGGTCACATCTCTGGCACGGCCGCCGGTGGTATGGAGTGCTTGGGAACCTCGACGAAGCCTATGATTTTCTCACCTCTTTTGGTTTGCTGTCTGATGAGAAGCTTTCAGCCAAAGCATCCACCAAGATTAGCCCGCATCAATCCTCTCTCAACAAACTTTTGCAGTTTGGCTCCGCGGCAAGAGCAACCAAGACGGCGGGTTCATTTGGCGAAACAGATTCCCAGAACATCTCGCTAGGTGTGACCACAAACATTCACCCGTCGCAGTTCTTTCCCATGGAGCGTGGCGAGAGTGGATCGCATCAAGTTGCATGCAAAGAGAGATTTCTAGTGGCTTCTGGGAAGCCCGTCCAGCCGCACCAAGACCTCCCCGACGATTTCATCTTAGAACCAGGCAAGGACGTCTTGAGTTGTTTCCTGTTCACCCTTTGACGGTTCGCTGGGTTTGTTGGGAGAACCGAGCTGTGGTTTGTTTACAGGACCATTTGATTGTTCGGGTCGTTGCTGACATCCTCAAAACTGCCTTAACACTCCTGTGGTCAGGGTATAGGAAGCTTTCAGTTTGTTGCGCTTCTTGAAATACCTGCCCTGGAACTTGCCAGGGACACCCAGACATGTTTGGGTACCTTTGCCGGCGGAAGTGGCCGAAATGCTCGGCATCGCCAAAGAGGCTACTTCTCCAGCAGCTGCCCAAGCTGAATGGAAGGAAACCTTTCCTGGCGAGATGCCGCCAGAGCTCCCTGCCACGCAAGACTTTGCAGCCGACTACTTGCCATCTTCCGCGGGCTATCCTGTCCGCCTGCTTGACGGCAACATGAGCCGCCTGCGATTCCGCAGGGATCCCAGGGTGCCGTCTGGCTTCACCGCTGAATGGCGTGTGGCCAACAGAGCTTTTCCTGTGCCTCCTGAATTCCAACTTGAAGCGGCAGTCCTGCGGGTCACGGAATATTTTGTCCGTGCCACGTATGAAACTTGATCTCACTCCCGAAGCCCAGCAAATGCACATGTCCTACCAGGGTGGATTGAATGTGCAGTCCCACATGGCCCGGGAACGTGCAGATCCTGTTGGTGGAGCCCGCCTCGGCGCTGCGCCGTGGCACATCGGCGTTTTGGCCGGGCTGCTGCTGGTCTACGAAATCTTCTCAGGAGTCTACAGCGCCGACCGCTTGCAGCAGAAAGATTTGCAGGTCACACCCGACCACCTTCGACGTGCGTTCGCTCTGGTCAAAATCGCCGGGTCCTGCTTGGTGGTTCGTTTTTACTTGTGGCACTTGCAACTTAGTTAAGACACTTATAGGACTTAAGCAACTTGTAAGTAGTACTTAGGGAACTTAGGTTTTATTAGTTTTTTAATTATAACCGTAAGTTGTATAAATTACTTGTAACTAACTTATAAGTTCTGTAAGTTCCTGGACGACCAAAAGTATAGTCTCAGACAAGTTTTTTAAAAAAATTAGAAAAACTAAATTTTCGTCTTGAGATGGGCAGGCCGCTGTGAGAAAAACTAAGTGTTCGTTTGCAGATCCACGTGCCTTCGTGTCAGACCGCATGAAGCGCAGCCATAGCAAACACTCCCTCAACACCTCAAGCTGGAAGTCTGCATCTTTCTCAAACCAAGGCATGACAACCATGATGTTGGCCACGCTCATCCGAACATGTTCTGCGCACAGGCTGGTCATGTCTACCAAAACTGCTCTTGTTATTTGAACTTCAATGGCAACTGATGTTCAATGATTGTTTCTTCAGCTTGATTCAGCTCAACCCTTTGAAAAATATACAGGGGTTACATATAGGTTGGCTGGTGGTCAATTGATGGGCTAGATCTAGGTTGGCTGGCGGCCCATTGGGCCGCCCAGATGTGTTGGTCAATTGATGGGCTAGATCTAGGTTGGCTGGCGGCCCATTGGGCCGCCCAGATGTGTTGGCTGGCGGCCCCAGTGGAAAAATACCATATACTCTGGACCTTATGCAAAGGGTCCTGTACCAAAAGTACTAGTCCTTGAAAAGCAATGCATCAAACATAAACCTTGATTCATTTGCCATTGAACCATTCAAAACAGAACTACCATAGCTTCACCTGATATATCTAAATATTCGGGTTGCTGACCAACAACTTTCACACACATAAAATTTGACTAGCCGATTGTTTTCACATATCACGGAATCACAAATGTATAAAAATGTAGAAATCAAAGCGGACCTAAATTTATACATGTATAAATCAAAAAATATCAATTTATACATGTATAAATCACCCCATTTTCAATTTATACATGTATAAATTGATAACGAAATCGATTTATACATGTATAAAAATGTATAAATTCAATTTCTGAATTTTAAGCATTTTGCTTGTCATGCGATGAGCTTTTATCAAATAGAATTCATTTCTCAGAGTTGCCAACCCCACCACCTCATGAGTTTAGACATTTCCTGACTCCCTGATTTTTTTAAAAAAATCCAGGAGTCAGGATTTAAGTTTTGCTGATTGAGAGCTTTCCTGATTGAGTGCGACAATGCTTTTTGTTTGCTGGCGTTTGCTGGCTCCAAGTGTGTGCTGCTCATGCGACGCGTCCTCAGCTGCCGGTACTGCTGAAGATGGAGCCTGTGCAGCCTAGGAGGATGACGTATGCGGAGCAGCTGGAGGCAATGCGGCCACCTTGCGGGTTTTGCATCCTGGAGGACGGGACCATCCTGCTGTCCAATCGGCCGGAGACCTACACGGCGGAGATGGTGGTTGATGCCTATGAGGCATGGCGAAAGATGAAGGCAAATGGCTTAGTGCGTGAGACCCGACCTGCGGCTCAATGAGTCTATTATTGAAACAAGAGCGACATCCATCATCTGCTCAAGATGGCACGCGGTTCAATGTATATTTGTTGCAAGAGACACAACCTGCGGCTCAATGAGCCGCATGTTTTTTATACAGGAGCAACATCCATCATGAGTCAGCCATGACCATGACAAGACGGCATACGGCTCAGTGAGCTGCGTGATGAACATGCGATCGGAGCATGAACTCGATTTCAAGTTTAAGAATCAAAGTGCGAAAAAACACGATTTGATCAGTTTTGGTGTAAATTTGAAAAACTTGAAATTTTATATCTCAAAAAAGTTAAGTTCCCTAAGTTAGTTATAACTTATTTTTGACTAGTTTTTGATAATCTAGATATAGAACTTAGAAATTTCTAACTTTTGCTAACTAACTTGCAAGTGCCACATCTTAACATAAAAACTTGTGCTAGTTACAGAACTTGTAACCCCTTCGTAACTAAGTTACCAACCACTTACAAGATACTTACAAGTTCCCTGGCCAAAAATGAACCACCAAGTGAGTATATATATATAATATGAGCGTCCGACAAAGCCACCGAAGACTAAAGGAGTGACGTGCTACATACTTTATAGACGGCGCAAACACTTGGTACGTTGCTCAGACATACTTGCGCGGTACGTTGCTACATACTTGCGCGGGCATGCTTCAGACAGTTTGGATTCGGGGTCTATGTGCCGGGGGGTGTTGTATCACCGGGCATGCACACATAGAGAGATGTTCAACTTTGCTCCACTTCAGCATGTCTGGCAGCCCTGTGATGGTGTTTTGACACCATTTCAAGGTGCATACAATCAAGGACATTGCCTTGGGCGAAGAAGCTGCCAGTCCCAACCCCCAGCCGCAGCCAGCAGAAGTGCAACCTGACTTCGATGCCTTGGTTGGGGCAGATCCACTTCCCTTTCCCGGCGGAGATTTTGCAGACTCCATAGTCGACGATGCGGCTGCAAGTCACAGCCCCGGACTTCCGCCCGAGACTGAGCCGCTCCGGGTTGCCGACGTTCGCTCCATCGAGTTTGGGTATGGCCCGGATGGCGCTTCAGTGCAGAGTGCTTTTCACGCGAAGCATTTGACTGATCGCTTCATCATGAAGGCTACGCTTCTACATGGGCATCCCAAGGTAACTTCGAAAACTATTTGTGACAAGTTGCGCTCCTCCAGAGAATCCGGTCGAAAGGCCTTACCGCGAGAGAACTGGGTGGCCGTGATGGAAGCTTGCGCTGGTTCTCCCATCCTTGACTTCCAAGACGACACCCTCCAACTTCGTGCTATACCGCAAGATGCACCAGGGCGGACATTCTACCACAATGAGCTGATGAAGTTGTGCGGAGTCACCATGAGAGAGCTCATGACAGCCATGAACCGAGCCGCAGCCGCAAAGGCGAAATCGGCAGCTCCTCCCAAGCGAAAGCGACAAGACGGACACGAAGATTAGATTGGTAGTAATGCCAGCTACAGGCTGAAAAAGAGATCTGTGCATCTGGCAGCTGGCGTTTGCGCACAAAAGCCCCCAAGGTGTACACAAAGGCCCCCATTCGCCACGTTTTCCCCAAATAGAATTCATATCCGTCTTCTGGAGCCCTGTGCAGGATGTGGAGATTGCGGAACACAGGATACAAACAGATGGCTCTGTGCAGGTGTTGCTGCGGGAAACAAAAGGGGCTGAAAGAGAAGCTTGGGTTTCCGAGTTTGTGGTGCACCAAGCCTTGCTGGACCAATACTTCAAACGCAAAGGTGTGGAACGACAACAGAACAAAAAGAAACGGGCCGTGGGCCCGTCCTACGTGGAATCGCCTCCGGATGTCACTGTGCTCCCACACCTCTCAGCCGCTGAAGATTTGAGCGCTGTCGCCTGCGTCACCCACAAAGATTATGAGCCACTTCAGCTGGCTAAGAGTGCGGGGGTCCTTTGCGTATGCCTTTCCTCTGGCCTCATTGTTTTGCTGCATGAAATATTTGGCTGCGAAAGCCTGTCGCAAAGATATTTTGCGCTGTCAGAAGCTAAGTGCCTGCTGCCAGAAGCAGTTCTTTGCGTCCATGACGACGCGTGCCATTTGCTGAAATACGCAGAACGCCGCAAAGAGGACGGTGATGTACAAAATGCTTTTCATGCCCATACGTGCTTTCTTTTGAAAATGCGGTTTTTGTTTTTAGAACATATAATGCGTTGGTGCTTTGTTCAAGCGCTCTCTCCCGGCAAGGAATCGCAGGCTGCTGCTGGCATCGCTCCTCCCAAGATGGCTTTCGTGTGCGACCCTTTCCATATGACCGGTCACACAGACAGATGGTGCAAAGAAACCTGCGCGCCTACTTTAGAGTGCCACAAGCAACGCTTGGAAGGAATCCGGAGCAGTGTCTGCGAATTTACATTTACGTGGCTGTCCCAATTCAAACATGCGTCCAAGCACATGAGCCAATATGGCTTCGCGCGGTTTCTCACAGAAGTGTGCTGGACGCACAACGAGCGCATTGCACAAGGGACAGGCACCATCGATAGCTTGCAGGAGATGGAGACTTGATTGGCCCACGTGAAACACAGCCCTGGAAGTGCGCGTGTGGGCGCCACTGGTTCCATGTGTCCTCTGCAACCGAAAAGCCGTGGTATTGTATACGCTGTTATTATGTATGTTTTCCCAAACATAAGTTGCCCGGCTTTTGAAAAGGGAATTCATGAAGCGGTTCCCAGAGGACATGTGGAGCCAGCCCCTGTGGATTGGAACTGCGGACAAGCGGAACAGCGGATCGGCGGATCAGCGGACCAGCGGACCAGCCCATCAGCGGATCAGC